CCCCCCCCCCCCGGGCCCACGACGAGCGCGTCACGGGGCTCTTTTGGGCCCAAAAGGGGATCAAGACGGGCCAAGAAGGCCCCAAGACTCCTCCAAGGCGGCTCACGAGAGTTCCGAGGCGCCAAACGAGCGCTCCCAGACGCCCAAGATGGCCCCAAGACGAGCCTACAGGCCTCCAAGACGGCCCAAGAGGCCTCCAAGAGCAGTCCTCAGAAGGGCCGAAGCGCCGAAAATCGTCAAATTCCTATGGGAAAACGTACATTTAGATCATATATTACTTGTCGGCCTTCACGGCGTTGAAAACTGCCCCAGAGCACCCCAAGACCGCCCCAAGAGGCCCCCAAGAGGCGCCCAAGTCGGCCCAAGAGGGCACCAAGACGGCCCAAGAGGCCCCCAAGACAGCCCAAGAGGGCCCCAAAACGGCCCCAAGAGGTGCCCAAGAGGGGGAGCCCGAACCGACAATCCGAGCCTTCCGCCCCAAGACGGCCCCAGAAGGCCCCAAGAGGCCCCAGGAGGCCCCCAAGACGCCCACAAGAGGCCCCAAGAGGCCCCCAAGAGGCTCCAAAACGGCATCAAAACGGCCCCCAAGAGGCTTCGAAACAGCCTCCAAGCGTCCCGCGAAAAGCCCCCCAAGAGATCCCAACGATCACCGCACAAGTCTCATATCAACAACCCAGGCACGGTGGCGGGGTTGCGTTTGCGCACAAAAAAGGATTCGCGCTCTCGAGGCCAAGATTGCTCCAAGCCGGCCCAGGATGGCTCCAAAACGGCCCAAGATGGCTCCAAGACGGCCGAAGACAGATCGAAGACGGCCCAAGATGGCCTCAAGATGGCCTACAAGGCTTTCACTATCGCCCACGAATTCTCCAAGAAGACCCCCAGGACATCTGAAAGAGGCGCACATTACGCATTTCACTACATGTCCATTGCGTTGTTGAACATGTTTGCAATTGTTGCCTTTCCCGGCTTCCGTCGGCCCACGTAGCCCAAAGAGCCTCCAAGATCGCCCCACGGCGCCCCAAGAGGGCCTCAAGACGGCCCCAGAGAATCCCAACACTGCCCAGGACGCCTCCCAATTCGGCCTAAGACGACCCCAAGACGGCAAAACCTCTCCCCAAATTGGTCCCAAGCTGGTGCAAGACGCCTCTAACCCAAAACCCATAGCCCAGAGCCTTGTTTCTGCGTCCCCTTCCTCCTTCTCCTCCTCCTCCTCCTCCTCCTCCTCCTCCTCCTCCTCCTCCTCCTCCACCTCGGCCGCCAAGTGGGTGCAAAACTGCTTTCCAGAGGTCCCCGAGAGGCGCGCCGCGAGATCCCTATACACATACAAAAAACCTCTAACCCATAGCACATATCCCAGAGTTTCGTCTCTGTGTCCCCGTCCTCCTCCCCCTCTCCTCCTCCTCCTCCACCTCCTCCTCGCCCACTCCTCCTCTTCCTCCCCCGCCTCATCCTCTGTCTCCCCGATTCTTCTCCCCCCATCCTCCGCCTCACCCCCCATCCCTCTCTCCCCCTCCCCCCTGTCCTCCCCCGCACGCGCGCCCCCGATTGGGCATCATTTGCAGGTCTTGCGTATCAGGATGCCTTTTTTTTTGCATCGCGCGCGACGTTGGCAGGGCTCCCGGAGAACGCCGACTTCGGTAGTCTTCTCTTGCACGCGCCGCCGCACTGATGCGCCTGGCAACTGCGGGCTGTGAACCCGAGGTTCTTGCAGCCTCCGCGCACCACTTTCGCTCTTTTCGCCGCTCGATGACCTTCCACTTGCTTACGCTTCAAATGTTTCGTGTCCGAGAACGCTTCTCCGCACGCCGCGCACGTCAGTGGCTTCGCGTCCGCCTCGGCTTTCCGCTTGCGATTCGCTGCCTCCGCATTCCCCCGTCGCACCTCTTTCTCTCGTTCTCCCGCGCATTTCCGACAGAGCCTTTCCCCCGCAGCATTGTGCTTCTTCTGAGCTTCCGACATATCCGCCTTTTCGTCATATAGCGACAGGCACTTACCGTTCGTACATCGCACTGCTCCGACGCTCTGATTCCACTTCGCGCTGTCTTTCCGCGAGTTCTGCTTGGCTTTGATACCGCTGCACTTCGCGCAGTACATTGTCCTAATCCTTTTCGGTTCCCCGTCGTCGGCCGCCGCATCCGCGTTCCGACCGCTACCATGGCGCGCCGCGTCGTCACTCTCTCCTCTCGTCGCCCACCCTCTGCACGTCTTGCACCATTTCTCGCCCGCGCTTTTCATCTCCTCCGTGCACTCTTTGCAGAACGCCGGCCTTCCCTTTCTCTGGAACTCGTACTTCGTGAACGCCTCTACCAACGACCTCCGCCGGCAGCGCTCGCACTGGTCTCGTGGCATTAGTTCCTCTTCCCACTCATCCCACTCCACTCTCTCCCCGCGAAGCACCTGGTGGTGATGATGATGATGATGATGACGAAACGCCCAGTGAGGACGCGGGGGAACACCAACCGAACCACCGCTTCGGCCGCACGTAGCGTCCTAGCTCAGCCCCCGTAGGTCACGCGATGGCCTCGGGCTCGTAACGTGCCTGGACCTAGCAATGCGAAACAAACCGCGAACACCTTCTCGGTTCCCAAGCGTGTGAGACTCGTCCCCTCCGCAGCCCCGAGGTTCCCCGTGCGGGCAGAGGGATGCCCCAAAAAACAACCCCGCCTCACCAAAGAAGTCAAACCCAGCAAGAAATACACGGGCCCCAATCCAACGCTTCCACCCTTTGGGCATCTCCAGAACGATGCCAAGATTGCCTTAGCGTCCTTTCTTTTCCGATGGGCCCCCCGGGGCCTCGAGAGAGGTCATTATGGACCCCTACGCGACTCCCCAGCCCGAGTCAAGCGAGCCCGCAAGACCGCCAAGATGAGGGGTCGGCGGATGTGGCGTAAGCCTACAGAATCTAGTACTATTTACACTATCCCTAAGAATGGTCTGATCAGTATCAGTCGAAGACGACGACGACGACGACGACGACGACGACGACGACGACGACGACGACGCCGGCGACGGCGATGACTCCAGCGGCGCCCGGCGGCGATCGGCGACGGCGGCTGCGCTCTGCGATCAGCGGCGATCGGCGGCGGCGGCGGGCGGCCCGCCTGCGCGCGGCGGGCGTCGGGCGCGAAGGGCGCCCGCGCCGCCGCCACCGCTGCTGCGGCCCTCGCCGGCCCGCGGCGCGCCCGCGGCGGCCGCCGGCGCCCGCTGGGGCACGCGGCGATCGGCGGGCGGCGGCGTGCGGCGACGTGCGGCTTCGCCCGCGGCGGCCGCTGGGCGAGAGCCCTCCTCAGCCTTCGCCGCCGCGCGCTTCCCTCGCGAACTCGGTCTCGCTACCTCCTCCTCCTCCTCCTCCTCCTCCTCCTCCTCTCCTCCTCATCATCCTCACTTCCTCCCCTCCTCCTCCTCCTCCTCCTCCTCCTCCTCTCCTCCCCTCCTGCTCCTGCTCCTCCTCCTCCTCCTCCTCCTCCTCCTCCTCCTCCTGCTCCTGCTCCTCCTCCTCCTCCTCCTCCTCCTCCTCCTCCTCCGCCTTGCCCTGCTCCTCATCGCTCCTCGCCTCCTCGCCCCCACTTCCGCGCTGCTCGTTCCTTGGCCCCCTCACCGCTCCGCCGCCTCCTCCTCCTCCTCCGCCTCCCCCGTTTCTCCTCCTCCTCCGCCTTCTCCTCATCACTTACCAAGCCTCGGCCCCTGCACTCTGCTCTACTCCACTCGAGCCTGCCCGACCTCCGTCGGCAAAATTACACGCAAGAATGGTCCCAGGCGGGAGTGGCAGTGGGTGCGTTGTTTACCGATCGTTGCATGCGATATGTGTATTGGGTTTGCCCCCCCTCCCCCTCCGCCCTCCGCGCCCGCCGAAACCAGCGCACCAAGGGCCACTCCGTCGAAGGGTTGCCAGGCTTCGGGGCCATACCTCAGGTTTCCGACGGCCGCTCGGGGCGATCCGAGCGGCCCGGGGAAGGCTCCCGGCGAGGCGCAGCTGCTGGAGCGCATCCCGAGGCTAGAGCACCGCCAGAACGCACAAAGACCACCGCGCAACCCCACTTTGGAGGCCTGGTAGCGTGCAGCCGACTCCCCTACCCTACTCCGTCTGATCTGGCCCTGCCACATAGTCGACGTGTTGGAAACACACACGGGCATCTGCCCGCGTAACTGTGTAAAGCGCTCATAGCGACTGTGCGCGGTGCTACGGCGAGGGACGCAATTGGAAAGGGTGCCGCCATCCATCTGTGTGGAAATTGCCAGCTTCAGGGCCGTAAGCGGCAAGATGGTCTCAAGCGAAAGGTCCAGACCGCCCTGCTGGCACGTCTCGTGGTGTGAAGATGATGAGCCATGAAAAGGAAGAGGAGTGGGTGGAGGAGGAGTAGGAGGAGGAGGAGGCGGAGGAGGAGGCGGAGGAGGAGGAGGAGGGATGATAGAAGAGGGGCCGAGGGGGGGTGAGGATGACAAGGAGGAGAAGGACTCGATCATTCGCCGATGGCCAGGGCCGCACTACGGACGCCTGGCTGGCTAGGGCGAATATGCACGCCGACCCCGGCGGCCCAGCCAAGGCTGACGTCGGCCCTACGCCAGCGGCCCCCCGCCCGCTGCAGCTACGCCGAGGCCTGGCCGTTCCCTAAGGCGGCCGTACCGATGCGCCCGGCGCCCAGGCACCCCTCGTCGGTCTCGCGGCTCCGTTCTACAAGGGCACCATCTGTTCCCGCGCGCCGCGCGGCTGCTGCAGCGGCGCCGAGGCCTGGCTGCTCCCAGTGGCGGCCGTGGCGATGCGCCGGGCGCTGCGGCGCAGCTCCTCGGTCTCGCGGCTGCCCCCGCGGGCGCCGGGGGAGGTCGGCGAGGGCCGCGGCAGAGGCGACGTGCAGCCCCTCGGCCTGGTGGCTCCATTCTGAAGGGGCCTCGCCTGCTGTGGCAGCCTCCCCACATTTTTAGGGCGACGAGGGGGGCGAACAGCCGAGGGGAGAGCAACACATGTATCCAGGGGCGCCGACGGTCCATGCCTTCGGCGAGGCTCCTTGGCGAATAGGTGCAATGCCCGCCCCTGGGCCATTCGCCCCCGTCGCCGCCGCCGAGCACAACCCCGCGGCCGCTGGGCGCGGCCGGCGAGGGCCGCTGGAGCGGCACGGGGAGCCCCGCGGCCGCAGCGCGCGCCTCGCAGCGGCGCCCTGCCCCTCCACGCTCGGGGGGGCGTGAAGGTGGGGCAGGGGCAGAGGCGGGGTTCCTCCTCCTCCTCCTCCTCCTCCTCCTTCCTCCTCCTCCTCCTCCTCCTCCTCCTCCTCCTCCTCTCCTCCTCCTGGGAGGAAAACCACTCTGAACGGCCGACATGCACGCCGGCACCGCGCCTGCTCCGCACGCCGCCGGTGCAGTGGCGCGCGCGCGCCGCGGGCTGAGGCGCAGCGCGCGGAGCCCCCGCCGCGGGGCCCCCGCGGGCCGCGGCGGGCGCCGCGCGGCCTCGCGCGGCGACCGTCAGGCGCCGCGCGGCCTCGGCGATCGGCTCCTCGAGCGGCTGCCGCGGCCGCGGCCGCCCGCCGCGCGCCGCCGCAGGCGCTCCAGCGCCGCCTGCGCGCGGAGCGCCGACGCGGCGGCGGCGCGGCCCGCCTCGGCGGCGCTGCGCTGCGGGGCCTCGGGCGGCGCCGCCGCGTCCTCGGCGGGCTCCAGGCTGGCGGGCCGCAGCAGCCTGGTGGTGCCGTCCTGCGAGGGGGCGCCGGCCATATATACACAGGCGCCGACCACTGGCCGGGCGCCTTCGGGGCACGGGATCCCCAGCTCTCCGCGGGGATGCGTCAGCCGATCCGTTGCGCTCTTCCTCGACTTCTGGCCATCGCTCGGACGTCCATTCCCTGTTTTTTTTCGGTTTCGCGCGTGGCTTTTTCGCCAAATGATCAAGGATGCTCCTCGATGGTCCTCGCCGAGGAAAAAACGCACACGTCCGAGCGATACCAAGACTTCGGCCGCTGCATCATGTGGGAGGGCGTCTGGGTCCGTGCGCACGCCCTCCTGGCGCGGCCAGGAGGGCCTGCACACGGATCCTGGGCGCAGGGTGACTGCCTACTGGACCACCCCAGCCTGGCCCCGAAGAGCCAGGTGTCGGGAGGGGGGGGTACAGTCGGGGCGTTGACCTAAGGAACCCTATATGAGGAACGAGGCTCCGTTTTTCCATAAGTTAAACTTCGATTTACCATCGAAACCATAAAGAAAACCTGAGGCAAGCTGTGAAACAACTAAGGAACACGGAGCCCCTCCCCACCGAGAAGGTTTCCTTCTTCAGCGCCCCGACTGTACGGGCTTCACATGTGAAATGTTCAATGTTCCACGACACGACCCCACTGGAAATGGATGGTAAGCTTGGGCCTTCGGGTTGGGTTGGGGTGGTTTGGCGGGCGGTGGTGCAGGGTCGGATTGGTGCCGCTGCGTCGCTGGCGCCTCCCGAGTCCTTCATGCGTATAAGCCACCTCTGCTCGCCCTTGGAGAACTCGATCAGCCTGCCTTCGAGGCCATCCTGCCCTCGAGCCGTGGCCGCTCGACCACCCCGACGGCCAGGGCGGGGCTCAGCAACGGCCGCATCAAGCAGACTCTGACCACGAAACAGATACCAGGGATGCGCAGGCAGGGTCGACTCCAGAACCCCTGGATCGCCCCCTCCCGAAAAAAACGCGTCTCGCTGTTGCTTCCGCCGCCTTCTACCCGCGGACACGGTGGCGGACCCGCCGCCGACTTACTTCCGCTGGCCTCTCGCCGCCTTCCGCCGGCCTCTCTGGAACGTCCCACTTGAGCTGTGCGTTCTGGCATGCTGAGGCTCTGCCCAGCTGCTGATGGCCCTCAAGACGCGAGGAAGGCACAGCCGAAACGGGCACGACCGACCCGGGGATCTCTCCGAGAGGTGGCAGGTCCGGAGGCTGCGTTCCACACCGCCCTATATAGGGCGCCCCGGAAAACTTTGGAACGATAGCAAACGGACGCCGACAGACGACAGACGACGACGGACGTCCAGCGTCCGACGACGACGACGACGTCGACGACGACACACGCCGACGCCGCCGCCAACGCCGAAGCCGACGCCGACGCCGCCGCCGCCGCCGCCGACGACGACGACAACGACGACGAGGACGGCCTGGCCCTCGGGGCGGCCCGAGCCGCCGCGGTCCACAGCCGCCCCTCGAGCCCGCGCAGCCGCACGCGCGCCCCCGGCCGCAGCTCGGCCGCCGCGGGGCACGCCGCCATCGGCGCCCGCCGGAGGCGCGCCCCGCGGCGCTCGCGCTGCTCGGCCCTCGCCGCGCGCGCTGCTCGTGGCCTCGCGGCCCTCGCGTTGCTCGCTGCCCGCGCGAGCGCGCGCGCCAGGGAGGGAAGCACGAGAAGTCCATACAGATAAGACGCAGACAAACTAGTACCATGCAAACGAGCCGAACATATATGTATAGATTTATATCACGGCCATATTGTAGCATATCATTACCATTACGATGGCGGTATGGACAGAAAACACCCGCCACCTAGCGTACAGTCTTATCGGAAATTGGGGTGCGAGATCGAACGAAAACGGAGACCCCCCTGACCGGGAAATCGGTTTCGGTTTCGTGTTCGTGTCATGCGTGCGGACGAGGCGAAGCTGCGTGGGCGGGCGAGAGGAATGAACCCTCCTTTGGCCAAGGCGCCGCTGGGTCAAAAGACCGCCTCCCTCCCCAAGCTTGGCCAGCGGTGACCGGGGATGTCCCGCCGTGGTGTCCCGCCGTGGTGTCCCGCCAGTGTCCCGTCGGTGTGCTGTCGGTGTCCCGTCGGTGTCCCGTAGTGAGATCGATGCTGGGATCGATCGTGGGACCCGCTAGTGGGCTCGACATTGAGATCGATAGTGACATCGATAGTGAGATCGATAGTGAGATCAATATTGCAATCGACAGTGAGGTCGAACATGGGATCGATAGTGAGATCGATAGCGACAGGAATAGTGTGGTCGACTGTGAGGTCGATAGTGAGGTCGATTGTGAGATCGGTAATGGGATTGATAGCGACGAACGAGTCAGATCGATAGAGGGATCGATAGTGAGATCGATGATGAGTCTGATAGTGAACTCGAAAATGAGATCTATAGTTAAATCGATAATGATATTGGTAGTGGGATTGATCGTGAGATCGGCATTGGGATCGACAGCGACATTGATAGTAAGATCGATAGTTGGATCGATCATGATA